CTGAAAGAGGTGAAAGAGAAAAAAGATGCAGTTGTAGCAATCAGATTATCTGTAGCAAAAATAGAGTGACTCAAGGTAAGTCTGTAGCAAGCAGGCTTAAGTTAGGATGTCCACATCTGAGAGCAGCACGCTGTGATCCAAGTGGGAAGGAATGTATCGGTCAGGAAACCAAGGGAGGCAAAGCTGTCATTAAGGCAATCTAGGGAGCTCTGTGATTACAGATGGACCAACCTGCCCAGATAAAAAGCAAATCCTCAGGTCTTACTCCCTGCCATTCGGCCCAAATTTCCCAGCCTGCCCTTTCGTCCATCTAGTATATCTGGGCTCTGACATAGCCTTAAGTATTTGGGAATAAAGCACCCAGTCATTAGTAATAATAACAGCAATTTAAGAGTGTTGTTCAGTATGCTGTCATTTTACATCCTAATCAATCCTCTCTCCCTCTTGCTCAGATCAGGATGGAATGTCCTTTTTTTTTTCAAAATTGAACCCAGGGCCCCATGCGTGCTAGACAAGCACTTTGCCAGCAAGCCATGCCCCTAAACCTAAAGAACTTTTATATAAGCCGAATAAATATATTTATTGGGGGTAAAAAGAACTTAGGAAACCTATGTGAACCTGTAAAAGAGAATTAAATCATTTCTTGTCCTTTGATCCATATGCAATACCCTTGACAGACTTTCCACCTATCATATATATTTCTCTTATTAAATAAAATGAAGTCAGCCAGAAGCCAGTGGCTCACACCTGTAATCCTAGTTACCCAAGAGGTTGAGATCTAAGGAACCCTGTTTGAATCTAATCCAGGCAGCCTCTTATCTCCAATTAACCACCAAAAGAAATCCAGAAGCAGAGATGTGGCTCAAGTGGTAGACCACTAACCCTGAGTGAAATAAAGCCAAGTGAGAGCTCAAGGGTCTGAGTTCAAGCCAAGTACCAGCAAGAAGAAAATAAAGAAAGAAGAAGAAGAAGAAGAAGAAGAAGAAGAAGAAGAAGAAGAAGAAGAAGAAGAAGAAGAAGAAGA